ATTCTATGAGATATGATATGAAAAGTGGTAAGTGATCAAAAGATGGTACTTATCAAAACTATTTATTATTGTTGTTATTAGTGACACATAGAGGAGTAAGAAGTTTAAAAGGCTGAGGAGAAGGGGAAAACCACAGTGAAAAACAAAAACAGAATGTCTAGGGAGCCTTTTCAACAATTAATACAAAAAGCTGTGACTCTAATAATCTTTAAAATAGGCCAGATCTTGAAATCCATTTGCAGCAAAGGAGTTTTTACTATTATTAATCATTTTAATTCAGTCTTTGGAATAATTAACTCATTCACGTATACTGACAAAGGTATACAGTCAAAATTCTTTCTCCCACTCCTTCCTGCCGTCCTGCTCCCGGCCCCCCATAATAATACAGGTAACCGTTTTCAGTGATATACAATAATAACATCAGTAATAACAATGACATTTACTTGCCGCTTACTACATGTCACACAGTGTTCTATGTACTTTGTGAATATTAACTTGTTTACAAGCTCTGAAGCAGATGCTGTAATTTTGTCCTTTTTACGAACGAGGAAGCTAAAGTACAGAGGGGTTAAGAACCTTGCCCATGATCACTCAGCTGTGTGGCGGAGCAGGGTTTTACACCCAGATGGTCCAGGCCTGGAATCCATGGGTTTATCCATTATATTCCTTCAAGAGTTTCTTTATGCAAATACAAGCAAATATAAAGATATTATATGGTCCCCTCACTTTTTTCCCAAAACATGAGTATATTGCTCTCATTGTTCTGGTCTTTTGTTCCGTACTTAACACCTCCTACGCAACACACACACAGAGGCAGAAAGAACTTCCTCATTCTTTTTCACAGTACTCTGTGGTTTTGATTAAAGACCCTGCCCTTTATGGTCCAACCAGAAAGTGGAGGCTAAACTGGATCTTCATACCTGTCCTGTTGGTCATTATGGAAGTGAGGGTCTAATTGAATAAATGTATGTCTTGCCAGCCAGGTCTTTTAATTGAGGGATGCTATGCTCTTAAGGTTCAAAATCGGAAATAAGAAAGGCAGTGGGAAAACAGGAAGAAAACTTGTGGGTCCAGAAGCATTTCCAAATGGCATTAGATGTCACACACAAAAGAAATACTTGAGCAAAGCAATCATCCCATGTTCCTGCAGAATCAGTAGCTGGAGTCTACGCTAGCATATTCGCCTCTCAGAAACCAGTTCCCTTCCTAAATCAGAGGTCATACTTAATTAATACCTCTGCAGCAGCCTTGCAACAAGAATTGGCAAAACGGCAGTAATGGCACTGCTCTCACGGGCGTCTCAAAGGGAGAAGGAAGTAAAAGACAGAATCCCCAGAAGGAGCCCCAAAGCCTCACAACTGTTGGGCGGCAGGCTGATCCCTTGGACTCTGAATCACCTATATGCAATGGACTTCAGTCCACTCTTTTTTTTCTGCCGGGGCTTTTTCTCGGATGCCTTCTTGACAGTCATTTCCTCCTTGTATTTGTCTCTCGAGTTTCATGCTTTAAGTGATCATCAGGTTTGTTCCCCCAAAGTTAAGCCACAGATGGGATTTTTCCAAGGCCAGTGCCTCTTAGGAGGATGAATTCAATGGGAGCAAATTGATAATCACTCTCTTGTACACTTCTGTGGTCTGGGAACACCAGGTTTTAATAAAAAGCTACTTTGCTTAGAAATAAAAATTTCTAAGAAGGAGGAAGCAATTCTTAAGTTCATTTTGAAAATTAAGAGTTCAAGTGAGGGGCAAGATAAGTAAGGGGAATTTTTCTTACCTCCTTTTTGAGATGTTTTCCAAGCACATTTAATATTCAATTTTAAGGTACTTTGGTAACCATGGAAAGTATTTTCTTTAAGCATATATATCTTTATTCCCCTAGGGTGTTCCTTTAAAAAAAAAAAAACAGTTAATTTTCCAAATTCTCTTGTGATAGAAGCAGAGTCCTTTTTTTTTTTCATGTGACTTATATCCAAGACTGTTTTTCACATAAAGGATGCTTGCTCACTGGTTTAATTTTGCTCATCGTTGAGGATGGGCAAATAGCAACTTGAAAACGTCACAGTTTGTTTATTACTCAGATATCGTTGTACAGGTTGTTATAAAATGGTCTTTACTGCAGAAACTAGAAGTAGGATTTTTTTCTCTGAAGGGGCTTTAGTGCATAAACTGCCCTCCAGCCTGCCAGACTCACTGCTACTCTTACTTAATGGCCTTAAATGACCTGAAGACCTGTCAGGAGTCAATGAGAGAACGCACGTGAGAATTTAACAAGATCCCAGCACATAGTAAGCACTAACAAATGTTAGTTGCCGTTATTATTATCTATAAAATGGGTATGATTATGTCTCCTCGACCTACCTTAGAGGCGTCAATTGAAGACCAAAGATTCTGCATTTATATGAAAGGCTGTGCACAGATATTTTAAAGTGAGCCAGGGATACTGTCAGTAGGCATCACTGGCAGAGCAGCAGTAAGGGAGTAAGTAAATCCTACTCCTTCCCACATGGCATCTCCCTGAACAATGCAGAAACTCACTTCGATGGCATTCAACTCCTCGGAGCTTTAGTGGAGGCCTGGGAGGGGAGAAGGCTCCATGGGGGTACCTGCTCCCACCAAGTCCCCCATCTAATTTTGTGACAGTTACAGAGGCTCCATTTTCTAGGAGAAGAAGTTGATGCTCTATGAAAGACAGATACTCACTGACCTAGGTCACACAGGTGGATGAATATAGACCTCTGACTCCAAGTCCAGTGCTCTTTGTGCTGCGTCTCTGGGGGAAGAGGCATGAGGAGGAACTGGCATCACCCCTGTAAACAGACAGCAAACAAAGAGAGGGAGAACTTAGGAGAACAGATTCAGGGTATTTTTATTTTAAAAATATCATGGAAGAAATCTGGCCATATAAAAGTGGAGGCTAGAGTCCTGTTTGAAGTTGAAAAATAGCAATAAGGAATCTGAAATTTCATGATTCAGAGAGAATCTGTAATCTGGACCAGGGTAGGAGGGGGCAAAAGGAAGGCCATGTCCTTTCAGAGATTCTGAGAAAAACTCTAACATATAAGGTTCAATGAAAACTCAGAGTGAAATACCTTTGGATCCACAGTTGTCAAGTAACAAGCTTAGTTTTCGCTTTAACTTTACTTCCAACTTCTGATGAGAGCTTGGAGAGAATGGTGGATGAATCATTCTAACAACTCTTCAAGGGCATAGGGCTCTGGAACTCTGGCTGACATGGAAGTCTGGGGTCTAGGCGATGGTCTCACTTTGCCAGTCACTAGCTAGGTGATCTTGGACAACTTTCTGCCTCTCTGTGGACCTCAATTTTCATATCTGAAAAATGAGGAAATAAGACTGCATTCATTCATTCATTCATTCATTCATCTAACACATTTTTTAACCTAATTCCCCTGACTAGAACTCTTGTACAGCATTTAATAGAAGTGGCAAGAGTGGACATATTTGACTTGTTCTTGATCTTAGAGGAAAAGCATTCAATCTGTCATCATCGCATATGATATTAGCTGTGGGTTTTTCATGAATGCTCTTTACAGGTTGAGTTAGTTCCATTGTAATCCTAGTTTATGTAGCATATTTATTTTAACAGGGTATTGGATTTTGTCAAATGCTTTTTCCACATATATCAAATTGATCATATGGTTTTTTCCTTTATTAATATGATGGATTACACTCATTGCTTTTTGGCTATTAAACCAACCTTATATTCCTTGGATCAGTCACACTCGGCCGTGGTTTATAATCTCGTTTTTAGATTGCTGAATTCAACTGCTGATATTCTCTTAAGGATTTTTGCATTTTGCATTTTCTCGAGAGATATTGGTCTGTACTTTATAGCAAATACATATTGAGCAACTTCTGTGCCAGGCATTGTTCTAGGTGCTGGGGATTCAATGATTTTTTCAGAACAGATTTTAGAAATCTCTTCTTCCGTGGAATTTATATTCGAGTGGATGACTAGCAAGGCTTCTCTGCACTCACATTTGACATTTTTTTCCTCCGTTTTCTCAGTAGTACCTCAGTGCTTAGGTGCTAGACTTTTGGTAACTTGGACGTCAGCGTCTGGAGACTGGAAAGGACCTGCTTTTCTTTTTTAAATTACTGTTCCTTTTTTCCCTCTACGTGTTAATTAAATTATAACATCCACTGAGAAAAGAGGACACACTAATGACTTTTCATTAACTGACACACCCACGTAACCAGCACCCATATCCAGAACAACAAAGTATAACCAGCATCCAAGAAAGTCCCTAATGTCCCTTCTAGTCGCTAACCCTCCCACCATCAAGAAAGCCACCTCCCAGCTTCTAATACCAGGTATTTGTGTTCTTGAACTTCATATATAAAAAGTAAGTCTGACTATAGTTCATTTTTTGCGTATTGGTTATTTCACTCAGTATTGCTCTTGTGAGAGATTCATTCATGGGGCTTTGTGTTGTCATGGCTTGTTTATTCTCATGGTTACCTAGTGTTGCCTTATATAAAAATTTAAAAATGTATCTTTGCTACTGCAACTGGACATTTGGACTCTTTCCTGTTTGGGGCCGTGCACATGTGTGGAGCTGTCTTTCGGTAAAACACATTTGCTCACTTCGGGGTATGTCCCCAAGTGCAGAATTGCTCTGTCATAAGATATGTTTAGGTTCAGTTTTAGTAGATTCCGCAGTTTTTTGCAATGGATGTACAAAGTAGGCTCTCACCAGCAATATGTGACAATTCTAGGTGCTATGCATGATCACCAACACATTGTAGCCATTCCGGTCTCACAGTAGGATTCTAATTTGCATTTCTCTGGCAACCAATGAAATTAAGATTCATGTTCCTATTAAATGTGACAATTAAACAGAGCCATCTGTTTACGCCTGATCTTTTCTTCACAGATATTACAGCCTTCCTGGGCACCCCTTTTATGCTAGTAGTAAATTCAAGAGGCCGTTACTGTCCAAACTTCTTCCATAGCTACTGACTGGCTTTATATTTCCCCAGTAAGAAGAAGAAAAATGTCCTTGAGAAGACAGTCAAGACCACCCGGGACCAAGTGCCTACATATCAATATAACATGAATTTTGAGAAGGTGGGCAAATGCATCATAATAAACAACAAGAACTTCGACAGAGCGACAGGTAGGTATTTGGGACATGACCTGTTCCCTTCCAGTTTCTTCACCTTGTGTTAAGACTTGTATCAGACATTCAGCAGAGAGTGCTGTGCCCATTCGCTGTGGCAGACAGCCTCTCCATGGATGGTATTCTCATGTCCAGGAGAAAAGGAAGCAGAGAAATCAGGGACTTTCAGTCTGAGGTCCCCCTGTGTGCATTAGCTGACGTGGGACTTGGAGCAAAGGGCTAAGAATCGAGGAGAACTATTTGGCCTAGATTGGAGCTGAGGGTTAGCTCTTAGCTGCACTTGGCACCTGACTGGTTGATGCCAGCGCACAGTGCTCAGCCAGGGATTGCTCATCATGGACGGTGCTTGATGCCCACAGGTATGGGCGTCCGGAACGGAACGGACAAAGATGCCGAGGCTCTTTTCAAGTGTTTCCGAAACCTGGGTTTCGACGTGGTCGTCCATAATGACTGTTCTTGTGCCAAGATGCAAAATCTGCTAAAACAAGGTGGGTGCCCACCCTCTCCCCTCTCTCTCTTTTTCCTGCTCCCAAGAGGCACAGGGTCCCAGCTGGTCTTGGAAGGACACTTTCCCAGGACACAGGGATTTCAGTATGGAAGCCTTTTCTTTCTCCAGCCCACTCCATACCTGTCTCTGGGGTAGGGGTTCTAGTTCAGGAAACTTAGATCTCTCCCTTTAAATAAGCTCACATGACAGCAAGAAAAATAGGTTCTATATCTACAGAATGGTCTCAATTTCAAAAGGCTAATTCCTAGGGAGGTAAAAAAAAAAAAAAAAATCTATATTATTCTTCCCAGAACAGAGTTTAAGGATAAACTTTTCCCTGGTGGCAGGTAAAGAAGAATAATCCCCATAAACCTCAGAACCGCTTCACTCCCTCCCCCAGACCCTGGCAGCCACCATTCTGCTTTCCGCCTCTGTGAATGTGACTCCTCTAGGTTCGTCATTAAGTAGACACATTCAAGTGTTTGTCCTTCAGTGACTGGCTCATTTCGCTTGGCATGATGTTTTATTTTCTTTAACAAGTACTTGCATGACACTTACTACATGGCCTGCCTTACAAATATTAACTCATTTAATAAGTATATTGTTTCCATTTTGTAGACAAGGAAACCAACACACCGAATGCCAAAGGAATTTGCCCAGTGTCACAGACCCAACAAACAGCAGGGCCGCCCCATCAGCACCCTAAAATGCTGTTTCCCAGCAGCTTCTCGAACCGCTCCCACACCTGGGGCTCACTTCCTCATGAGGCAGCTCCATTCTGGTTTCAGACTTGAGTGAGAATTCTAGAATTCCTTTCCTCTAATTGCTCTCCACTGGTCCTTCTCTCCAGAAGGGTCTCTCCTCTTTTAAAGACTCCTGAGGTCCCACGGGACTCATGTTTTAACTTTTCAATGTTCAAATCCCTTGCTTGCAGCTTCTGAAGAAGACCACAGAAATGCAGCCTGCTTCGCCTGCATCTTATTAAGCCACGGAGAAGAAAACTTAATTTATGGAACAGACGGCATGATAGCAATAAAGGACTTGACGGTCCATTTTAGGGGGGACAAATGCAAGACACTTTTAGAGAAACCCAAACTCTTCTTCATTCAGGTAATCCCCTTTCAAAGCCAGTACACTTGAAAATGGGAAAAGATCACAGAGTGACTTGGATTGCGTCATTTTTACAAATCCATGTGCCGCTTCAGCGGGGCTGTACAAATTTGGGTTTTGTTTTCTACCTCTAAACACTTGGCGTCTGTATTTGCTTCAGATCACAGATCATGAAGGTTTTTTTAAGACATTACAGTACTTTTACTGGCTTGGCTGACGAATTCAATTCAGCATTCATTCACTCAGTCATTCATCAGATTACCATCAAGCCCCTAATATATGCCAAGCACAGTTCCAGGCACTGGGACACAGCAGTGAACAGCACATACATTTCTGTTCCCAACTCCGTGGAGTGACGTCTGCTTTGACATTTAGGCATGCCGGGGGACAGAGCTTGATGATGGGATCCAGGCCGACTCAGGTCCTATCAATGACACAGATGCCAATCCTCGATACAAGATCCCAGTGGAGGCCGACTTTCTCTTCGCCTACTCCACAGTTCCAGGTATCAGATCTGTCATCTGCTAACTGGATCACACCATTCTACCATCAAAATGCCGCAGTGATAAATTACCGCAAACATAGTGGCTGACTGAACACGTACAAATACGTGATCGTACGGGTCTGGAGGTCAGAATTCCAAATCGGGTTGGCAGGGCTGCATTCTTCCTGGAGGCTCTAGGGGTGAAAATCCACATCCTTGCTTTTTCCGGCACGTTAGAGCCTCCTGCCTTCCTTGGCTTATGGCCCCCTTCCTCCAGCTTCAGAGCTGGTTAGAATGTGGACATCTCTGGGGGCCATCCAGGGATCTATTTACTTTTCGCTCCAAGAAAGTAGAATTCTCTCATTACCAGTATCATTGGTAATTATAAGAACAAGCCTTTTTATATTACTTTAAGTTTACAGAGTGTTTTTCATGTCTTTTACCTCTATATCATCCCTATAATAACTGTAGGTAGTTAGGAAAGGTGTTATTGCTGTCCTTTTATAAATTAAAAAAAAAAAAAAAAAGCTCAGGTGAGCGTAAGTGTTGTGTTCAGGGTCACATAGAGATTTCGGTACGGAATAGAGCGATAGCTCAGACCAGATTCTTTTACACTGCAGGCTATAAACAGGTACCAGGAAGTGCCAGTAATGAGCGGGCCTGCTCATTATTCATCAAGCTCTGTGCTTGCCTGAGTCAGTTCAATGAAAGGCCTTCCTTTGGGGTAAAAACCATCACCCAAGTGGAATTCTCTCAGCTGTAGTAGTGGCTTGTGAAGTGCTTGATACAAAGGTATTGGTTATAGTAAATAGGTCAGCAGCGTATTTGGAGAATCATCTCTGGCAGGATCTACAGATGGGATTTTGTGAGAATGATTTCTTCACAAGTTTTAAGGTGTAAGGAAATAATTTAGTCTTCCTGCTCTTCAAAGGGAGGTGGTGTCATGGGGGCATCTATTTGAACAGACCCAGTGGTAGGGTGTAGGGGCCCCTGAGCAGGGTCTGGGGTAGGTAAAGGAAGAAGAGTGGACTCTCAGGAGGCAGGCGAGAGAGGCTTTTCTAAAAACGAGCTGCTGTAACTCCAACAACAGTGGGGAGGGAGATGGCTTACCAGGCAGCATACCAAGGGGTCAGCTGCCCAGAGCACTGGCACAACTCAGGCTGGACCACAGGTGTGCTGGTCGGCTCAGGCTGCTATAAGAAAACAGAACACAGACTGGGGGGCTTACACACCAGAAAATTGTTTCTCACAGTTCTGGAGGCTGAGAGGTTCCAGATCATGGCACTGGCCAGTTTGGTTTCTGATGAGGGGCTTCTTCTTGGTTTGTAGATGGCTGTGTCCTCACATGGCAGAGACAGGGATTACAGCACAAGGTGTGACAGGGCATTGGCACAGTGTAAACCTGGACAAGTAGGCAGGGAGCCCCATTGTGGTGGGCCTGGTGTGCTGTGCTAAGCAGACTGAACTTCCCCTGGTATAGAGCGCAAGGGAACTATTTTAGGTACAAGAGTCACAGGATGAGATTTGCCTGTTAGAATAGTTACCTCAGAGACCACGTAGGACAGGGGTTAGAGAACTCAAATCCAGGGGAACTGATTGTTGTAAATGATAATATGATGACCCAAATCTCATCAAACCAGTGTGACCGATTGGCCGTGGGAGGAAGCAGCACGCTTCATCGTGTAAACCAAATACAGCTTTTCGTTTCGCACTGTCCTTTTAAACGGGGGCATGGGGATGATGGGATCTTCCTTCCCCCAGCTGAAAACACCAGAGGGTCCTTAGCCATGCTGCTCGTGCTAAGATATTAGACAATATCGTGGTCACTTTTAAAGTCACAAACAGTCACTGTACTATAGCCAGGTTGCCCAGTCTGAGATGGTTACTAAAACCCCAAACCTGACTTGGCTGTATATTTCTCCCAGTTCCAGATCAGCCCTGCTGCCCGGCCAAGGCGCTAAGGGGCCTTGGCTGACCCTGCGGTTTCCTCACAGCCTCCCTCACTTGCCAGATCTCTTTCTTTTTAAATCCTCCCGAGGTCAAAGAGGAGAGGAAAGCAGAGAGGGAAGGAGGCAAATTAAGGTCCCATGGTCACTTAGCTTCTTGTGCACTGGAATTGAGATGGTTAAAACTGGTACTTTCCTCTTGGGCGTTTTTACGAGTCCCCAGGTGACCAGGGTCCCACTCCTCCTTGGCCTTCGGATTTGCATCTCCATTCCTGGTTGTGCGCTGTGATTTCTTCCTTCAGTGCTGGCCACTCTCTAGGGTGCTTGTCCAGCCTCTTTTTTACTGAGGTCTCATTGCGCCTTTAAGAAACCCTGTTGTCCAGGACCCAGGGCAAACTGAGAGTCAGCTTCCTCCACCGTGGACAATGTGTGGTCCATGAGAAACACACCCCTCACACCCGAGTGCTGGCCCTCCCAGGGCAGCGGGCTCTCCTGGCTCCGCCCCTAAGGCCTATTTGTCAGCCAGCTCTTGCTTCTGT